AAGGGGAGAGCAAAACTTCGGGCGTGCTCGGCTGCGAAATGCGAATCCGCAACTCAGTCAGAGCTGACCGGGGTTTGTGCGTGGCCCTTACGTTACACCGGGGGTGCAGGGTGTCAGTTTTACAGTTCCCTCAGGCTTCCTGGAGAGTCCCCGGGTTTAAATTTCGTAAACGTTTTATCTGTGAAGAACTCACGGCATACTCTGTAGGAGAGTGAAGTCTGCAGAACCAATTTAAGAATCGCCTACAAAAGGGAATTTTTCTGGCGGTGGCTGAAGGGTTTGTACCGCAAACCTCTAATTAGGTCCGATGTACTGGTGTTTCACTGGTGATTCACGTGTGACGTGGGCAGGAGAAATCTGAAGTTGCTGCTTGTCTTGCTACAGTGGGTGTATTTTAGGGTAGCTGCTTCCCTGCTAACCAGTTTCGTTTCTATTTATTTTTTTTTCATCCGTGCTTACCCTGAAGCATCTTATCTTATTACCCTCATTTGCGACTACCATCCTGTAGGACAGCTGCTGATCTTTGAAAGTAATGTTATGCTTCATGAGAAAGCAAGATGGTTGAGTCTTCAGCAGTATTTGTTTTTAAATAATCTCAACCACTAGTTTATTTTAAGCTTGTTTCCCTAGGTGTGATATCTTCGAATTTGAAGGGCATTTGTTTGCTTTTGCTTGTAACTTTTTTATGAGAAATTTCTGTAAATGAAGTTTTATCTACCAAGCAGCTACAGTTGCTTAAAATGTACCTAGAGAGAAACATGGGGGGAAATAATTTCATACATTTTTTTTGCCCTCACTCTTTCTCTAATACGTAGCTCATTATTAATGGATTAAACCCCATGGCATAGTACTATTGTAATACAGAGTATGCATTTCTAACTATAGAGTCATGGAATCATTAAGGTTGGAAAAGACCTCCAGGATCATCAAGTCCAGTCTTTGTCTGATCACCACCATGTCAGCTGAACCATAGCACTAAGTGCCATGTCCAGGCATATATACCTCTGTATGCAGTTACCCAGTTGCAGCCAACCATGTTTCCTTACTTTTGTTTTTTTTTTTACTTTTATTTTTCAGTTCTGATACCAAGTTTTCAATAACATTGAACAGAAAAGATGCTCTCACAGAGGATCAGAAGACCTTAGCTTCGTACGGGATTGTTTCTGGTGATTTGATATGCTTACTTCTAGAAGAAGCAGATGGGCAACCCAGCCTACCTCCTCCTCCTCCTTCTGCTCCTACTCCTCCTCCTCCCCCACTTCAGAATGGTCGTGAGCCGTCCACCTTGACCCCCAACAACAGCGAGGCAAACAGTCCAAAAGAAGAAGGGCAGAATGAGCAATCTGACAACCAGAAAGCTCAGGGGGAAGTTCAAAAGAGTGATGAGAGGGTAAGTAGATGAGAATTGTCCTGTACAGCACAAGGCAAAAAAGAAGGTATGTTGTTGTGTCAATTACTGTACTCTACAGGAGAGAGTCTCTTCAGAATATTTGGCTCCTAATACCTGTCCAGTGTTTATCCAGTTATTTGAATGGAAATTTGTCTCTCTACATTGTATATTACCTGTGGCACAGAAGCTAATTCAGAGAGCCTAAAGTGTTTTAGATCTGATGTTTTTACAGGAGTGAATGTTTTTGCTGGAACATGCACTTTTCCTAAGGAAATTAGGATTATGTTTCTTACCTGCCTCAGCGCTGTCTTCTTGAGGAAACTGATTGTAGGTACTGAGCAGTTGCAACAGGCACTGCCTGTTGGAATTGGGCTCTTATTTTTTCCTTTCATGACCTTTCCCTTTCTACTTTTTTATTTTTGTAATGTGTCTGTAGTTTTGTCAGATAACTTAATAACATGGTATGATTTTTGTAGAAGAAAGGAAGTTACAATAAAGCCACAGTCCTCCTTAAGTGACAGCAGATGCACTCCATGGATTTTTTTTCCCTGCTGTTTAGGCCTGTTGTGTTTGTTGACAGTCCCAGCTACCATTTTGGTTACTTGCCATGCATGTTGGCTAAGTTCAAATTAATGGTGATACTACAGTGATTAAATTATTCCTGTGTATGTTGCAAAAATTCTAATTCTGAAGATTTAATATAGTATTACCATGTTGTCTTCAATTTGTGTATGCAATAAAATGACAGATCCTTTAATGAAGCACTTGTATTATAAAGATTAAAAGATACAGAGGTTATGTATATAATCCCAGTCTCCATCTGGAATGCTGGAAAATGGAGGTGTAATGAATCTTATATGTACAACTTGTATGGGAAATCATGGGAAATGGAATAAGCAAAATATTGATGTAAAATATTGGTGTAAAGTATTGATGTATACAGAGGTGTAATTTTCTGAACAAAGTTATTTTTTGCTTTCTCCTGAAGGCAGGATCCAGCTTAGAATTTCCTTCTGGATTAGTCCCAGAAGATGTTGACCTGGAAGAAGGTACAGGCTCCTATCCCTCGGAACCCATGCTGTGCAGTGAAGCTGCTGATGGTGAAATACCCCATTCCTTGGAGATGCTCTACCTTTCTGCTGAGTGTACTAGTGCCACTGATGCCTTGATTGTTCTGGTTCATCTGCTCATGATGGAGACAGGCTATGTACCTCAGGTAGGTAGATGCACAAGCAAATAGAAATTTCTTGGCCAGTGTGAGAAAGCTATGGAATATTATGGGAGTGTGTAATACAAGATCCATCTGAGGATCTGCTTCTGCATTGTATATGTGAGTTGGCAGCAGGGGCTGCTGAAGTTCCAGCTTCTCTGATTTCCCTGACCAGTAATTCTTTGGGCTAAAGACTAGAGCAGATTTTAGG